TTCAACATTGGCAATACCCAACAATAACAACAACAAGCTCGGTGAGGTGAGCATATAGCGTATCTTCGATACCAAACCCTCACGCAGTAGTAGTAGTAGTAGTAGTAGTAGTAGTAGTAGTAGTAGTATTACTGGTGATAGTAGTCGTAGTGAGGGATCCTAGCTACAAAGCACTACTTCACATCTCGGTCACAAGACCCATGTATATCTTTGGATCTGTGGTTCGTTTCAGATGGATCGTAAGACATGTTGAAGCCACCACAAGTAAGACCAGTCCCGGTACTTGTTAGGCCTGATGCTTGAAACACTGCCAAAAGCTATGCAGTGGAAACCCACTTCACAAGATTCATACGGTTTTGTACAGCCCATCCTGGTGTCTGAGGATTGCAGGATGGAAGCGCGCCATGAAGGACCGAAGCGGTGCAGCAGCACGACCTCCCTGAGGCCCCGTGTCGGTTGCAGGATTTCATGAACCAAGACGCCAAGCTGAACGACTTGGTTGCCTTGCCGGATACTCGGATCCCGCTCAATCAGACTTCATGTTGATGCGCCGGACAGCTTGCCATGGCCCGGTAGAAAAAATCGCCGACACAGCTTTTCCCATTTCAGGCATCAAGGGTGGTTGCTCACTTGCACAACCATGTCACACATGACCAGGTTCACCCAGAAGTTCGTGCAGCTCGGGCAGAGCCGAAACTTCACGCTGAGCACCTTGATGGTGCGCCCGCCCCCCTCCCCAGAGGGGTCGCGAAGCTTGAAGCTGTACTGGCAGAGTATTCTGTGGAACATGGCCTGGACGGCAGGACATGGCCTGGACGGTTTTGATCCTGACCTGGGAGGCTGAACAATGCAACTTTCGCCGTCGCAGGTTTTGACATCATCTCATCATCTCTTCAGGCGGTGGTGAACGAGAAACTGCCAATGATGGAAGAGGTGGAGCGAGGCTTTAAAGAGAAATACGAGGACGGCTGCGGCAAGGAATCTTTGAGTTGTGGATTCCTGCTCTATGCAGGACCTGATGAAGGCGATGATGGAAGTGCGCAGGCTAATGCAGTGTTGTAGTCATGTCGTATACAAGAAATGTATAAACATGTAAAGCTGTCCCTCAAGATGAGCTCAATGAATGCTGACGTGCAGTCGGGTACATCCGTCATCATGCATGTTGCTGTCTGCTCAGTGCTCAAAACTG